ATTGAGTGTGGCGGAGGAGGGGGTTTGCCTGCAGCATGGCCTTCATGTGAACTCTGTTTACACGGAGGAGGGGGTTCGCGTGCAGCATGACCTTCCACTCCATGTGCTCCGGCGGCGCTGCATCACCCTCGCCTGAGAATGCCTTGCCTAGCTGCAGGCAGATGGGAGAGAAGGGGAGAGGGGGCGCATGAAGGGGAAGGGAAGAGCGTGTGTGTGCATAGGAGTGCGCCTGCAGCATTGCATTGCCTTCCACTCCACGTATTCCGTCGGCCGCGTCGCCCTCTTCTGAAAACGCATTCTCTGCGGATGGGAGAGAAGGGAGGGGAGGGGGAGTATGTGCACAGCAGTTTGCTGTCGTGATCTCGCCTGAAAACGCCACATTCACACACCCACCCACCCACACCTGCACCCCCTCACCCCACACACACCTACACTCCCCCACCCCACACACACCTACACTCCCCCACCCCACACACACCTGCACCCCCCCACCCCACACACACCCACCCATCCACTCACACACACATACACCCTTCAACCCTCCAACACAGCCACACACCCCTCCCCTCGACCCCCATACACACACATACACACACACACATACACACACACACACACACATACACACACACACACACACACACACACACACACACACACACTACTCCAAAGGCGCGCACCTGGAAGAAGGCCCCTTGGAAGATGGCAAAGCCGACGCCCGTGGAGAGAGCACAACCGCCCCACACACTCACTCACTCCCGCCTCCCCATACACACTCTCATCCCCTTTCTCCCCCTCCACGGGCGCGCACCTGGAAGAAGGCCCCTTGGAAGATGGCAAAGCCGACGCCCGTGGAGAGAGCACAACCGCCCCACACACTCACTCACTCCCGCCTCCCCATACACACTCTCATCCCCTTTCTCCCCCTCCACGGGCGCGCACCTGGAAGAAGGCCCCTTGGAAGATGGCAAAGCCGGCGCCCGTGGAGAGAGCATTCAGCACCGCGTTGCCTGCCGGCCCGCCCACCCCGCTCACCACCGAAAACGCTATCCCTGACCCGAAGGCCGCCACCGCACTGAGAGCAGGGGAGAGGGGGGGGACGAGGAGGTGAGGAAAAAGAGCAGGGAGGGAATGATGGGGGGAAGACGAGGGCTCAGGAACTGGTTCGCCTACCCCGCCCACCATCGAGAACACTATCCCTGACCCGAAGGCCGCCACCGCACTGAGAGCAGGGGAGAGGGGGGGGACGAGGAGGGGAACGTGGGGAGGGAAGGTAAGGAGCAGGAGAGGAGGGATTACGGGTGGCCCCCGCCCACCCAGCTCACCACCGAGAACGCTATCCCTGATCCAAACGCTGCCTCCGAGAACGCTATCCCTGATCCAAACGCTGCCTCCGAGAACGCTATCCCTGATCCAAACGCTGCCACCGCACTGCGAGGTGGGGAGGGGACGGTGAATGGGGATGTGGGGAGGTAAGGGTGGCATGAAGAGGAGATGCATGGAGAGGGGTGGCATGGAGAGGGGTGGCACATGGAGAGGGGAATTAGGAGGCATGGAGGGGGAAGGAGAAGACAGCATTGCAGACTGGTGGTTTCTTATGGAAAGAGAAACGTGCACTTGAATCAGATGTTGTATCCACTGCCACGCCTCAGTGCCTCCATGCCTTCCATCCTGCCCCTCTCAACCGCCCTGCTCTGCTCTCCCTGCCCGTCATCGACCGCCCTGCTCTCTGCCTGCCTCGCCCTCCTCTCTCTCGGTTCCTTGCATGGCAGACAGACAGAGAGACAGTTGGTTCGGCATCGCCTTATGAGGCGCCTCAAAAGGCTTTTATCTCACGCCCCTTTGGAGACAGTCGGTTCGGCATCGCCTTATGAGGCGCCTCAAAAGGCTTTTATCTCACGCCCCTTTGGAGACAGTCGGTTCGGCATCGCCTTATGAGGCGCCTCAAAAGGCTTTTATCTCACGCCCCTTGGGAGCCAGTCGGTTCGGCGTCACAATCAACAGCTGGCTTGCTCATGCGTTTCTCGACCGTTTCTTTTGTGACTCCCGCCACTTCCTTTTCTTTCCTTTTACTCGTTTCTCGTCGCGTATCACCCTCATTCTATTGAGCCGCCTCAAAAGGCATGTCCTTGCACCCCTCACCTCCTTTCACCTACCACTTCTGCAAGTGCCCACCACCAATTCCCTTACCTACCACGAAACCACTCCTCCCTCTCCTTGTCTGCAGCACCTCTCACCTCCACCTCACCTCTCACCTCGACCCCCTCCCACCTCGTCACCTACCCCCTTACCCGTCTCCACCCCTTTTCACCGCGCACCTCCTCTGCAGATCCAGTCCCCACCCTTCACCCCTTATCCATCTCCACCGCATCCCACCCCTCACCTCGTCTGCAGGTCCTCGACGCCGCCGCGGGCGCGCTTCATGGCGGCCGTGATGCCCGCGTTCACGCCCGTCATCACCGCGAAGTTTCGCGCCTGCGTCCACGGCCCCCCTGTGAGCGCCTGTACACACACACACACCAGAGCCAGGCCGCGGCGTGGAGGGGTGGAAAAGGGGATGGTGGGTGGGTGGGCTGCACGGACACACCAGGACGGTTGGCACGGTCGACATGTGTTTTGACGCGCCTCACAAGTCGTCCACGCGCCCCCTGTGGGCGCCTGCACGCACACACCAGGACCAGGGCACGAGGGAGGGGTGGAGGAGGGGGTGGTGGGTGGCACGGTCGACGCGTGATGAGACGACTTCAGAGTCTGACGGCACGGTCAAGAATCGCCTGCACGCACACACCAGGGCACGACGGAGGGGTGGAGGGGGTGGTGGTGGGTGGCACGGTTGATGTGAGACGAGACGATTCTTGCGTCGGATCAACAATCGTCTGCACACACACACCAGGCCACGAGGGTTCGAAAAGCCGGTCCACACAGCCTGCTACGCCACGAATCCCTTTTGAGTCATCTCGCTGTAGGCAGCGTGAACCGCCATACTCCACCCCTCGTGGTCACTCTAAAGTCATCTCGATACAACGACGCACGATCCCTTTCGAGTCGACTCGAATTCATCTCGCAGCCTACTGCGCCACAGATCCAAACGACCCACGGGAGGCAATCCCAGCATTGGAGGGCCAATTAAGTGGGGCTGAAGAGCGGTATCTGCAGCTATGAACGACGCTGCTTAGGAAGGTGCGACGGGGAAGGTGCGACGGGGAAGGTTCAGGGGTTAGCGACGTGATCGACGGCGGCAGCACGACGGACAGCAGTAGCACCGCTGTCCTTCGGATGGGCTGCTGTGCGCGCGGGGTTCGACGCTCTGCGACTGGATTGTTGTGCGACAATGTTGATGTGCAAAAATGTCATTGCGCGACGCTAGCGTTGAAACGTACGAAGTCCGCTGGCTTTGTGCAAGTCTTTTTGTAGATGTTTTTTTTTCAGATTCGCGAAAACCAGTGAATTCGAACCGGCGGATCCGAACCAACCACGAGGCGACACGTCAAAGGGTTTTGTCATCAATGCGGCTCCGGCATCCGCAATATGATGAGCAACAAGGCGCAACCGCTCCCGAAACACGCGTCAAAGCCGCCGGCAAATGAACGTCCATGCCATGCCCAACGTCACGCGCGCATGGCGCCACGAGCATCAGAGGCTGCATGTGAGTCGCCTTATATCCACGCTGCTTCTAGCCTCTTGGATCCAGACACAACTCTGCGCGAAAACCAGATCTGGCTTCTCAAGGCGCACTATCAAGGATCCGCTCCCCTCCGTCGCTCCTCCAGTAACAGTGGGCGATCCAAAACCTGACCCGATTTCAGAGATTGAATGAGCGACTCGCCTGCACGTCGAAGTCGCTAGAAAACTATCCAACCACACTCGACCACACTGAACCGACCTCGCAACGCACCTGCATTTGCTTCATCGACGCCGCGGCTTCCGGCGTCATTCCCGGCATGGTGGCCGGCGACGGCATGCTGCCGGCCGCCTCCGAGGTCAGGCTGCCCATCATCGCGCCGATCGCGCCGCCCTGCAGCGCGCTCGCCGCCGCCACGATCGCCACCTCCACGGGCGGCGGCTGGCGCGCGACCCACGCCTTGGCGCGCCCTTCGATCTCCTGGTACTTCGCCTGAAGCTGCCCGAGCACCATCGCGCCGACCGCCGGGAGAAGAGATTCGAGAGAAATTCGGTGAGAGGAGATTTGAGAGAAATTCGGTGGGGAGAGAGATTCAAGTGAGAAGATCCGGGGAAGACGATTTGGTCGCGACGATTTGCTTGGGACGGGCGGATCGGAAAACAGACGACGCGGGAAGGGAGGAAAGGCAACGCTGTGCGGCGAGGCGAAGCGGGGAGTGAGGCAGGAAAGGTGTTGTTGGGGTTGCGAGCTGGTTGTGAGAATGATTTCTGCCTGTTCGATGGTTCAAGAATGAAAGTTCAAGCACGCGGTTGAACGGGACTGGCTTACAAGGGGCAGGCGGGCGAGCGACAGGTGTTGCTGCAAGTGCGATATGACTGGGTGAAGTGGGCGAGCGACGCGCGGGGGGCAAACGGGGAAGGGGAAGGGGAAGGGGACAATTAGGCTGACGTGTCCACTAGAATTGACGGGAAACTTCCGCTGAAATACACGTGGAAGGTACAAGGGAAAAGATCCATGGAACGCCGGCTTTGGTATTGAGCGAACGAGGATTACACTATCGAGGTAAACACAAGTGTGTAAAAGTAGGAATTCATATTTAGTTACTATAGGGTTTAGGGCTCTCTGATCAGATCAGATTATGAGACAGGCTGCCTTGTTTCTCTCAGTCCAGCTAAAACAAGGCTGACCACTTGCAGGTTTCCAAAGCTGAAAGTCATTTTCACAGGCTTTTAGGCAGGCTAGATCCCGCAAATTTCATATAACGTACCATTTGAGCATAAGCGGAAATCTTTCAAAGAGGTTTCCCTATAAATAACAAATAGTGATTCTACGCTAACTAGGTGGATTTCCAACTTTTGAAATTAGGGGGGAATAGTTCCTACTTCCCCAGGCAGTGCAGCATGATGGCATTTTGCGCATGCATGCGGTTTTCAGCTTGAGGGAAAACAATGGAGTAAGGAGCCTCCATAACCCCGTCTGACACCTCCACCCCCCTCTCCGCTGGTAGGCAGTGCATAAACAAACAGTCCTTGCCGGCGCGCGCCATCATCGCTTCATCCACCTGGCAACAATCATCGGGTCAAGGCGATAGAAGAGTTTTGATGAGGGGGAAACCATCAAACAGATTTGGTCAGAAACCACGCAAGCACGCACATGCACACACACCCTACCATGCGTGCCCTCCCTCCCCCCAACGCACCTGGAAGCCTTGGAAAGCGGTTTTCCTCGCCTCAGCCTGCTCCTTCTGCCCCATGCTCGCCCACACATCCGTGTACACCACGTTGCTGCCCCTCACCCCCTCCACCAGATCATTCGTAATCTCTTTCATGCTGCCCCTTTCCCCCACCCTCCCTTCCTCCTCCCTCACACGTTCTCTGTCTCCCTTCCCTCTTCCTCCCTCCCCTTCCCCTCCCCCCCACGCACCTGGAAGCCCTGAAAGGTCTTTTTCCGCGTCTCAGCCTCCTCCTTATACCCCATGCTCGCCCACACGTCTGTGTACACCACGTTACTCCCCTTCACCCCCTCCACCGGGTCATTCGTGATCTCGATAGTGCTGATCCCTGCTGCTCTCGCTCGCTCCACGGTGGCGGCATCGGGCTCGAAGCCCTTGGGGCAGACGCACACGAAGTGCATGGGGATCACTGCTGCCAGGCGCAGCCAGCTGTGCACTATGTTGTTGCCATCGCCCACATAGGCCACCTGTGGAATGGGAGTTGAGGTTGGGAAGAGGATGGAGTTAGAGTTGTATGGGGGAACGGGTGTGGAGAGGGGAGGAGAGGAAGCAGACCAAGTGCATGGGGATGAGTGCGGCCAGGCGCAACCAGCTGTGCACAATGCTGTTGCTGTTGCCCACGCATCCCATCGCACTCACCTTCATCACTTCGATCTGCCCCAGGTGTTCCATGATGGTGAGGGCATCCGCCATGAGCTGGCACGGGTGGTTGTATTGAAATAGCCTTATCATTGCCTACCTGAACCCTTTCCCACGTCCATCGCATGTGCTCAGTGCTCACCACTCGTCTCACAATCTTGCCATTCATGACATCGACTCACACAAGTGATTACCCCTTCCCATCGCACTCACCTTCATGCCTTCGATCTGCCCCAGGTGTTCGATGATGGTGAGGGCATCCGCCATGATCTGGCACGGGTGGTTGTAGTCCGTCAGCCCGTTCACCACGGGGATGCTTGAGTACTTGGCCAGGTCGATGATGTCCTGTGGGGGATACAAAGGGGGAAAGGGGGAGTCAAGAAGAGGGGAAGGGGGAAGATTTTATGAGACGACTAAAAAAAAGGACTGAGCCTGTTCACCACAGGGATGCTCGAGTACTTGGCCAGATCGATGATGTCCTGATGGGGTAAAAGGATTGAAGGGGGAGTCAAGAAGGGGGGAAAAGGAGGATAGTTTTGATACGTCTCAAGAAAGGTCAAGCTTATTTTCACCACAGGGAGGGCTTGAGTGCTTGGCCAGATCGAGAATGTCATACAGGGGCGAAAGCTGGATAAGCGGGAGTCAAGGAGGAGCGAGAGGGTTGGGGAGGGGAGCGAGAGGGTTGGGGAGGGGAGCGAGAGGAGGGGCTGCGGGAGAGCGAAGATGAACACAATCACAGCAGGCCGTCAGCCAGTTCCCCACGTAAAGATGCCCCAGTACCCGCTTATCATGCGGCCAAAGTCCCGCGTTTCTTTGCGCTTCCCTAGCTGGATGGTGTTTTTAGAGTCGCCTCAACAGACGTGTACCCTGGTGGTGTGCAAAGAGCTTTGATTCGTTTCAGATCAGAACCATCCAGCCAAGAAGAGTGCGCCAACCGTACCTGGCGTGCAAAGAGGCGGGCCATGACGATATCATTTATGCACTAATAATCAGGTGGCTGATGTCCCTCGTGATCAAGAATTGCTCTTGAGACACCTCAAATCCAACAAGGAGTGTGCCAGACGTACCTGGTGGGCAAACAGCCGGGCCATGATGATATCATTGTACCCGCTGATGACGCGGCTGATGTCCCGCGTCTCCTCGCGCTTGCCCAGCTGGATGGTGTCGGGGCCCAGGTAGAGCGCATGGCCGCCCAGCAGGAAGAAGCCCGACTCGAAGCTCACGCGCGTGCGCATGGAGGGCTTCGTGAATATCATCGACATGGTGTGACCCTGGGGGTGGGAGGGAGGGGGGAAAAGGTTTATGACATGATGTCACGCGTGTATGGAGTGGCAAGTCAGGAGGACGGGGGAGGGGGAAATGGATGTTGAGGAGGACGAGCCGAGCGGCTGAACTTGGCGAATGGGGGGGCAAATTGGACAAGGGTTGGCCTTCACATGATAAACACTTACAGGACTTTGAAGACATGTGATTTCCACTATGCGCATGTGATTGTGTACATATATGATTCCCCTCGTAACATGAATGAGGTTGAGAGGTATAATGCAGTAGAGTGATCTCGGGACTAATTGACTGCGTCCTTTTCCTTATTGACAGGCTTGATCGAGAATGCATTCTAAGTTGACCGAAATACACCTATGTTTCAGGGTTCTTTTTTTAACAACCAAACACGCCCTGCAGCTCTGTAGTCAACTGACCTTGGGCTTAGGACTCTGAGGCGGCTTAAACGTTTCTGGAGTGCAACTCTATGGTGAACTGACTGACCTTAAGGGGCTGGTAGGAGCGATCGCCAGACTTGATGATCGCTTTCACTTCTTTGGCGCGGTTGAGGATGTGGAGGATAGTATCCTTATCGAAGTCGTCAATATGGAGGAAATGCGTGGGAGCAGCTGCAGCAGCTGCGGGAACATGGGTTTGAGGCAAAGAAGAATGGTTGTGAGATGGCTACAGAAGAGTGATTTTCTTTGGCTGATTCATAAGGTACTAGATGACACTAGGAATGCAACGGACCAGATACAGAGAAAGGAATACAGAGTCAGCTTCTATGAAAAAAAGCCCTTTATGTATGCACGTACCTCGAACGGAAACTGATGATCTGGCAGGAGAACGAACGGCAAGTTTCCGCGAAGCAGCGGCGCGAGTCACAGGCATCTTCTGAAATTCGCAAAAACGACAATGCCAGACTGTGAGAAAGAAATGTGGAGCTTCACCTGCATTTCAGAATCTAAGAACGAGCCCTTTCAGATGTTATAGGTCCTTGAGCCTCAAAAGGAGAAGCAGGACTTTGAGCCTTGACGTGAGAAACAGAAGCTTGAGCCATGGGGTGAGCCCATGTTGCAATGCAACCAATCATTTGAGAGGAACCTTAAAACGCGTACCTTCAGGCCGCTCCATGTGTGTTTTGAGTAGTCTCAGAACAAAATGTTCTATGAGTAAACTCGGAACTAAGTGTGTGTTAAGTCGACTCAAAACAAATTTGTACCTTGAGGCCGCTCCATGCAGCGGATTCGCTGATGAGCGACTTGGTCGCAGTCGCAGTGGCGGCCTGCAAGAGGATCCAAAAATGGAAGAGGAACCATGAGAATAAGACCAGTCCGGGACAAGGTGTCAGAGTGGCTGCAGTTTTGAGAAGACCACCCTCGGGATTCCAGTCTTGAAACTCCTAAAAACGAGATGCACGCGTTCCGGCTGGGCCAAGAGGCGCAGCTGATGTCGCGAGACAAAGAAAGAGGCGCGGCTGACTGGTCCTAACATAATAAGAGAGGCTGGAAGTTTTGAATTCCGAAACGAAGCGAAAGCGTACCATGGTAGGCTTGGGGGTGGGTTTGAGCTCGCTTGGACTGAGATCTGGCTTTAGTCGAGCTTCGTTGGCAGCCTGCGAGGTAGAAGACGGAGACAAGATGCATTGTTGAGTTGATTTTCCACGTTTTTTGTAGGATATGTTTGTAACATCCCCAAGGCTGGATTGAACTTGCAGAATGTGGTCCTCTGCGATATGATGATGGAGGGAAGCGAACCGAGGATATACACAAGTTTATGGCCGGGTCGAGAGTTAAGTCCTTCGTTCCTTTCTCTCATTCGCTACGGGTAACGGCGAACACGAATCATCGAACTCACCGCTCAGTTTCCAGCTTCTCGTTAAGTTCCAGACCTCGACAGCTGGCATCTGTACAAAATGCAGCATTTTAAGTCGCTGCTCTTGTCAAATATTTCGGTGGACTTGGGAGCGATACGAAGCCCACGAGCGTCTATGACAAGTCCGAGTTCCAAAACGCAAATCTTACGAGAATGTCGGAGCACCAACTTACCTCGAGAGATGGCTAAAGAAGGTGAAAATGAGCAGCTTCGCTTGTTGTGCGATTCGTTCTGTAAATTTCTCAAAACCGAGTTTCGCCGGACCCACCTGGAAAGATGGCTCTTGCGAGGGAATTCGAGCAGCTTCGCGCCTGATGACAAGAACGCGACGCTGATATCAAAAGCTGCTAAAAGCTCGACTGAAGCAGAATGGATACGCAAGACCAGCCCGCAGCAGAAGTAATCTGAGCGGCAATATCTATGGCTTCTCAGATTTCAGCTTGCTTCAGTGGAGAAATCAGGGAGAATTGGAGGCTGTGGGGAAGAAACGTGACCAGACCAGACCGAGGGAGGGACAGCTGGAGAGGCGAAATGCTGACGAGGATCAACGGCAGCACACCAGCAGCGTTTGATTGGTCTGAACACAGCAGCAGCTTCGGATTGGTCAGAACTGGAAATTGTGATGGGTTACAATACGTTTGATTCGTCAACGAAAGCCGACAGAGGCAGGGCAAGTGCACCATGTGTCACGTTCTTAGACGTTGCGAACAAGCGTATGCCCGAGCAATGGATGTCGACGAAGTTCGTTTGAGAATCGTTCTGTAGCCGGAATTTGCTGAAACAGGCGTAGGAGATCTCAGCTGATGACGACTTTTCGGGCTACACAACGAGATGAGCAGAACACAGGCTCTACGTAAGGGCGTGTCATGCTTGGTGAACTTTCGGTTCATTCAAAGCGGTTCACTACGATATTGTGTTTTCTAAAGCGGTTTGTACTCTTCACCGCTCTGAACCGCTACATACCAGCCTAAACAGTGATTCATGAGCTGTAAGCTCCCTCGCCATGACACGCCCTAAGTGTTCGTCTAGCAGGGTTCAACACGTTACAAAGCGTTGAGTGTTATGAGTTGTACTAAGAAGAGTGCGCGGAAGACTTTATAAAAGGATGAGAACTACAGAATGACGAGAATGATAAAGAAGCAAGCATTTGTAGGGTCGAAACCGTGGTAGGCGAGGACCTCGGGACGTGGATGGGTTGGAAGTGTCGCGATTGGTGCGGGGCGACTCGGAAGTGGTTCGGGCCGAAGTGTAGGCCGAACCCAAACTGACGCGAACAGTTCGGGCTGTCCTCGCTAGGAGTAGCCTCTACAGTTATGAATTCACATTCATTACACTCTCCCACCTTCTAAATAAGGTGCCCTTATACGTAGGCGAGTCTTGCAGTAGCGTGAAAACTGCAGATCTCGGTTGAAACTGATCTGACGGTGCGGAAGCATGTTGACTTTCGAGTTGACGCGTGGCTGAGCGCGTTGACCAGGCGAATTTCAAAAAGTTGGGATGTCAGCCGTTGATACTGCCGATGTCAATCGGGCGGTTGAAAGCGAATGTCGATCTCAAATCGTTCGACGAAGGAAGACCGTCGATGTCGCGGATGTGTATCGGATGGTTCTGGTGAATGTCATGTCGGCGGGAATTCTGACGCGTTGTCAGAGATCGATGAATCTGGTGCCGTCGATGCCGATGAAGCCATCGCGTGCGTCCGTCGTGCTGGGTGTGTCAGACGAACTGTCAGAAATAACTGCCGAAATGTCAGAGGCCTGCCAACAACAGTGCGTGAGCACTCTTTCTCCCCCCCCCCCCCTTGGAAGAGAACTGCTGCCCACCAAAATGTGCATAGCTGCGCGGGCACAAAACCACAACCCCCCTGACGCCGAGGGTAGGACAGAATACCAAGTGTTATGACCTCCCGCCTGAAATTCAACCGCTGTGTAGTCGAAATTGCTGTCGGTGGCGAAATCTTCACTGTAGAAAACCCCGAAAATGCCCAGGGTAAACTCTGTCGAAGTCCCTTCGAAAGAATATCGTTTTTTGCAGGGGCTCGGCATTAAGAAAATCTTCTTGTTGTCTTGTTGTCGCGACTGTTGCTGCAGCATCTCTTGTGACTGCCACCTCGTAATCCCCCGCGTGGCAGTATCGAATCACTTTATTGCTGCCCAATCTCCAGTTGGCAGCTGCTGCAATCCCGAATTGCTGCTGCCGTTTGGCTGGTTGCTGTGGCGAAAATCTTTGCTGTAGTGTTCCAGCTGTCGGCGCCCTCGGCAGTTTTGTCCAGACTCGCCCAGGCCTTTGTCGCGTTGCTCCGAAAACTCCTGGGCAGGGACGAAAACAGCTGCTGCTCTTCCCCCTGACCTCGCAAATATTTTTCAAAGTTGAAAACTCGAATTGTCGATGACGTCAGCTACCTCGGCTGTTGTCGTGACTCGCCGAAGACTTCGGGGCAGAGGCGAAAAAGCTGTCCTTCCTCCCCCCACCTGTTGTGATACATTTCACCAGTGTTGCGGCTGGTACCCCTGAAACTCTGCAGATTTTGCCACCATGAAGTTCACCACGGCAGTTTTCGCGCGCTTAACCCAGCGCCGCTGCAACTCCGCCGTTGTCGCGAAATTGTCGGCCGTCACCGCCGAACTCTTGTAAAGACCCAGCTCCCAGTACTGCTGCTGAAACCCGTAAGTGTCGGTGTTGAAATTTCTCGTACGTCTTGGTCACCTGCAGGTTATCCCCTTGAAGAACCGGTGTATCTAGCGTGCCCACCCGTCGCCATTTTTATTTCCTGCGATTAACCACATTAGCCACCCACCAAAAGGAGGTGCTTTTTGTGCGGAACCCAGAACTATGGGTCTACCGGGACCGAATTTCACGGAACCTAGCCCGCATCGACGCCGCAGATCTCGCTGTAGAATTTCCCCAGATGGCTTCGAAGTACACCGTAAACCGCTGAAACAGCTGGCGAGCAGACGTTCACCCGTCTCCCACCGTTGGAATAAAACCCCGAAAATCATGGTTGTTGAAGCAGTCCCGAAGTATTTTCCGCCGCGTAACCCCGACGCTTCCGCCGTTAACCCTGGTACTCCGACGTTCACCCGTCTTCGCACCCGTCGAAATTACTTAGCGAATCCCAGGTATCCTTGGCGATACACCGCTCGCCGCGCCTCCATGTAACAATATCAAACCCTTTCGGGGGTCTACCTAATAGACTCCGAAATTCGCGGTGGATTGGTGTACGGGCTCAACCTTTCACTCTGGAGATCTGCTGGAGCACCCACAAATTTCCCTCCATTTGTTTTGTGTCTTCACCCCCCGACAATTTCGCTTGCCGCCGTTCACCCAGCGTTCTCTTTTGTCGGATGAGGTATAACTCCTTGTTGCCCGCGATTTTTCTGACATTCGGTGAAGGCGCGAACGCTATCGTAGCCGGGTCATGTTTATCGGATCAAACAGTCGGACCGGCCGCTTCGCTGCCCACCGCGTCTATCGCGTTTAAAACTCCTCAGCTTCGGAAATCCCTTCTTCGCCGCTACACCGCCGTCGGGTAGACCGTTGAATCAGGAGAAACTCCGACAGCTGCACCAACTGCTTCAGCTCCGACTTTTTCGGCGGGGTTGTCAGAATGTTATAATTGTCTAGCCTGCAGTGGGGTACTCTATAGCGAGTACAACCCAATTAGGGTTTCCTATATGTATGCCAACTGCTGCTAGTGCAACCCCTCTTCTTCCATTCCTCATTCTTCACATGCTATCAGAGCATCTACGCTCCTGGCCTGTGGGCCCACCTTACTGCTTCCGCTGCTACTCTGTGCGTTGCACGCCACGTTGCGTGCGACGAATTTTTCTTCCCCTCGCGCCACCCTTAGCGGCCCCGTCGCCGCCCTTCTAGGCCCCTCGAGGCCCCTTCGCGGCCCCGTCGCCGGCCCTAGCGGCCCCGTTGCCGCCCTTCCAGGCCCCTCGCGGCCCCTTCGCGGCCCCGTCGCCGCCCCTAGCGGCCCCGTCGCCGACCTTTCAGGCCCCTCGCGGCCCCTTCGCGGCCCCGTCGCCGCCCCTAGCGGCCCGTCGCCGCCCTTCCAGGCCCCTCGCGGCCCCTTCGCGGCCCCGTCACAGCCCCTATCGGCCCCGTCGCCGCCTCCAGCGGCCCCGTCGCCGCCCCTAGCGGCCCCGTCCCCGCCCCTGTCGGCCCCGTCGCCGCCTCCAGCGGCCCCGTTGCCGCCTCTTGCGGCCCCGTCGCCGCCCCTTTCGGCCCTGCCTCGACCCTGCCCCGGCCCCGCCCCGGCCATGCTCCGTCGCCTGTCGCGGCGCACCGGGGGCCCGTGCACCGCCCCCCCCCTCTTTTCCCGTCGCCCGTCGCGGCTCCCTGGGGGGCCGACCTGGGGGGGGGGGCGAGCGCCGCCCCTTCTGCCGCCTGTTTTGGCGCCCTGGGAGGCCGCGCGTCGCCCCCCCCTCCCCCCGTAACCTCCCTACCCGCCGTCCCGCCCTGCCCTGTGTTAGGGTCTGGGGGTGGCGAGTGGGGGGTGGCGGGTGTGTGGTCTCCCCTGCTCCTCCTCCTCCTCTGTCTCCCACTGCTGCAGCTGCCGCTGAGGGGGGTGGGTGTGTGGGAGTCGACGGAGTGGTGCTAGGGGGTGGGGTGTGAGTGAACCTAGGGTACAGCAGGGGGTGTGTGAAAGGGGGGTGCTGTGGGAGTGGAGCTAGGGTCTGAGCAGGGGGTGTGTGTCGAGGGTGTGGGGCAGTTGGAGGAGGTTGTGTGAAGGTAGCTGTCGTGTCGCCTGCAGCGCCTGTAGTCCGTCGCCCTTGCTTCGGTAGCCAGTGAGCCTGTTGCACCAGTCGCCAGTGGGTCCGTTGCTCCTGCCGCTCGTCTATAGCCGCGGAGCCAGTTACTCCAGTAGTCCGTCGCCCTTGCTTCGGTAGCCACTGAGTCAGCCGCTCCTGTGCCCGTGCCTCTGCAGCTTCAGTCGTTGCCTCCCATCTTCTCTCCCTCCACAGTTCCTCCTCCTCCTCACTTGCCCGCTGTGATTAAATCTAGCTTTGCTCGCTATTGTGAACTCCTGCTCTATGCCTGCTTGCTCACTGTGATGATTACACCCCACTTTGGCTATGGGGGTGTGTCAGAATGTTATAATTGTCTAGCCTGCAGTGGGGTACTCTATAACGAGTACAACCCAATTAGGGTTTCCTATATGTATGCCAACTGCTGCTAGTGCAACCCCTCTTCTTCCATTCCTCATTCTTCACAGGGGTAACTGCTGCCGATGGTCCGGTTTTGTCGGGGCCGAAACGGTGTCGCTCCCAGAAAATTTCTTGTACGCCCAGCTGTCGAACTGGCACAATACCCGCGCTTTTTAGCCAGCACAGGGCTAAACACAGGGCCCCACCTTTGGATCCAGTGGCCAATAGGACTTACACCTTGCCTTCGAGGCCTTCTGGGCGTGAGGTATGTGAAACGTCGGTAGACTTTGGCCGGTAGGGAGCTCCTTCTGCTACCGCCGCTTAGCCGCAAAACTCGGCCCTCAGCAAAAAGTCGTCGCAGTAGGTCGTTTTCGCCCCTCCCGAAGCTCGGAATCCGTTTCTCTCGCCAGACCCGTATTTGTCGCAACTCCGTTTATTGTGACCGGTAGACCAGGCGAAATTCGCGGGTCTAGACGCTGCGATAAACCGTTGTCCCGTCGGTGTACTGCCCTGTCTGCGGTGCAACTTCCCTTGATCAGGGGGAACCTGTGCCGCATGATGTACAGTGTCGGCTGCTGCTGTTGCTCCGAAAATTTCGGCCGACCTTGTTGCAGGCGCAGAAGTGACCCTAACGTAGACAGTCTAGTCGTAGGCGGCCTTTTCCGAACTTTTCGGCGGTTCGAAAATAACTTCCATCCCACACTGTGCCGCACCTGCCGAAAACGCCAAAGACGCAGCCACACCGGCCACACCCGGGCGGAACGACGGTAGACCCCCGCTTTCTTCGGGCAGTCGTCACGCCGTCTCTCCTCGCCGTTTGCATTTTCCGA